GTGTTAAACATCTTATCTTTTAGGGGCTAAGGTAACTGAGAGGCTTATTAATGAGAATTTTAACATTGTACAGTAGGCTACGAAGGCCAATTAGTACAGTGATTTGCTACCTGCAAGTTCCATTGGTATCCTTCTTTTTTATTCTAATCTTTGGAATTTAAAAACATTTATTTTCTGGCCCTCTAGGTTGTTCTTTTAATTAGAACTTAATTAAACATAATTTAATTAAATTCTGTTCTGTTCTAGTGAATCTCCATTTCCTAGACAGAGTCATTACAAAAACAAGTCCAAGGTCACATAACCCAAGTAATGGATACAGAGCTGGAAGTTTGTGCTTTCCTAGTCCTATGGAGTTACTAAGAGAAGTAAAAGGAAGTAATTAGTAGTTACTGATCTGGAAGTCATCTTTTAAATCAACAATCTAGATACAATCAGAGCATTGACTTGTCTGAGAAGAGATCAAAAACAATACCTAATTAAAAGAAGAAAATAATGAGAAAATACATGGTGTGCAATTCAAACAGCCTTAACCTTAAATCTTTGATGGAAGTTTAACAAGGGAACTGCCAGGTGTTCCCAAAAAGGTATTATATAGCAGATCAAATTTTTTTTTAATTGGCATTTTGTTTTTACATGACCTTTATTTCCAAATATGTAGAAATGGTCACTGCCTCAAGGAGCTTTATGTATATAACAAATATAAAAGGGGGGGAAGTCCCTAATAGGACCAAGAAAAGCTTCCCATAGAAGATGGTGCATGAATTGAACCTTGAAGGAAGCTAAGGGAGATAGAGGGGAGAGAGAGCATTCCAGTTATGAGGGAACAGCCTGTTCGGAGGCACGGTGGTAGAAGGTGGCATACCAGATTTGAGGAAGAACAAGGAGACCAGTTGGATTTCAAGGAGCTAACATTCTATTTGGAGGGGATGACATACACACAAAATGATAAATACAAGGTGACATGAAAAGTGAGTGAATGAATACTTTGTGGAGGAGGTGGTCCCTGGGTGGAGCTTTGGAGATGGCATCCTAAGAGATGGAAATGAGGAGGGGCTGCATTCTGGACAGTTTCCAAATGCATGAAGGTGGAAGATGAAATGTTGATTTTGGTCCAGTTTGCTAGATCATAAAGTAGCTGAAGACGAATAATGTGGCTAGAAGGTAGGTAGGAGCCACAATGTACAGAGTCTTCTGTATTTTGTCTTAGAAGCAATAGGCTGCTGAGGAGAGTGGTCCTGAGGTCAAAAATAAGGGGGTTGGACTAGATGGTTTCTAAAGTCCCTTCCAGCTCCTGATCGGATTTGATAAATTTACGATTCTATGTACGTGTATCTTAGGAAGGTCACTTATTCATTCATTCATTTATTTATTTATTCATTATTTATAGCTGGACAAAAAAATGGTTAGGAGATGGAAGATGCTGGAAGCAGAGAGATCTATTAGGAAGTCAGAATCAGGGTGTAAGAGATGTCATGGAAGGAAAAGCACTCTATGCACTGCACCAGCTAGCTGCCCTGGAAAAGAAACACAGCCCCACACAAAGGGGAAGGGAGCCAAGAATGATGCCCAGGTTTATAGCCTAAGTTGCTGGAAGAATGGTAGAGATCCTTAACAGAAATAGGGAAGTTTAGATGTATATGATGGATTTAAAAGTGCCAGTGGAGCACGAAGGTAGAGAGGGTCATCTACTGCTTCCTAAGGCAGAGCTTCCTCTCACAGAGAATGCTGAGCTGAGAATGTATAACCAATGATCAGGTTAGTTACTGGGAAGATTCATTCTTGAGCTAGGGAGAGATCCCCTTAGGTCTTCTGGAACAAAAACTACTTCTACCCCATGCTAGCTTGGAGACCTCCAGTGAAAGGGAATGCACAACCCCAGGCAGCCCATTTCACACTTTCTCAGCAAGTAAAATTATAGCTAGCAAGTTCTTCTTGGCAACAAAGCCTAAGAAACAACACATGTCTATAGGATGTTTGAAAGTTTTCAAAGCATCCTACACAGATTGTCTCATTGAATCTCACAACAACTCTGTGGGGTATATGAGCACCACAAGGCACTACTATCCCTACTTTACAGATAGGGAAACTGCGTCTTGACTGGCCCATCATAACAAAGGCATTGCATCAGAAATAGGATCTGAGCTCAGGTCTTCCAGAGTACACTCTACCTCTCAAAAAGCACAAGTTTTCCCCATAGCAGAAATACTTAAAGCAAGCTATCATATATCCTCTAAGTTACCTTTTCTCCAGGGTCATAGAGGTTTTCTAAGGTATTAAATTAAGGTGTTTTCTAAGGTATTAAGTAAGGTATTTCTAAGGTATATTTCTAAGGTATTTTCTACACTATTTTTAAGATACACACACACAACCTCTAGGAATAGTGAAGGAAAAAGTAGTCATAAGGGAAATACAAGATGTCCTGAAGTCTCTGGAGGCATCTTTGGACCTAGATATCTTCTCTCAATCGCCAACCACATACTGAGAGACAAACCTACTACTAAAAAATCACATTTATACAGTGCTTCAAGGTTTACAGAATTGTTCCCTGACAACCACTCTGAGTTAGTGCAAGAATGATCCTCATTTTACAGATGAGGAAATTGAGGCATAGAGCCGCAATGATTTGCATATGGTCACACATAAGTAGCACAGCCGATACTCTAAGTCAAGTTGGCTGACTCTAAATCTAGTGATTCTTACACTCTGCTACACAATTCACACTTAAACTCACGCTTATAAAGAACTTTAGAATTACCAAACTTTCAAAGGGAACTAAGCTCAAAGTTAAGCTTCATATTTCTACTGAAGGTCAGAGCTATCGCTATAAGCTGGATTTTTAAAAAAAACTTAATGATCCCACCCCCTCCCTTTTGTTATTTCAAAGGCTTCTATTACTAGCAATTCAAATACTTCATAGAAAATCTCAGGAAAGGTTATATGCTTATTTCAGAGATAATAGATATGGGAAAAGCTGGAAGCCAGTATCTGTGTTTGCATAAAATCTGAGTAAATGGACCCTAGGAATAAGGAAAGACTGGTAGTAGTGAATCCTAAGAGAACAGGTGGATCAAGTCAAATGTGAAAGGTGGGATACAAGGAGTTGGTCTCCCATGAGGGATTTAATTCTAGCAAGTAGTCCCCACAGCATCACAAAGAGTAGCCAGTAGTTTTCCAATATTTTCTAACCCCTTAACATGAATGACCTCCAATGTCACATTTCCAGGCAGTAGGTTCTCACTGTTTATAAGCATCATTGAGAGGTAATATGGTTCTAGTCAGCTCTTTGAATTTTGATTTGTATGGGAAATCAACAAGGATATCTTGTCCTATAGATAATGGAATGAAGTCAGTCCCTCAAAATTTCAGGCCCCTTTGTTGGTTCTGATCTTAATATGATTCAGGTCAGGGGCAGCTAGGTGGCACAGTGGATAGAGCTCCAGCCTTGGAGTCAGGAGTACCTGAGTTCAAATCTAGCCTCAGATATATAACACTCAGTACCTGTGTGACTCTGGGCAAGTCACTTAATCCCAACTGCCTCACCAATAATATACATACACACACACACACACACACACACGTGCATGTGTATATATAAAAGCAACAAGTAAAAAGCAACAACCTGAATAACACCAGTGTCACTTCATTCAGCTACCATTTATTAAAGACTTCCCTTTATGCGTCTTTTTCAGGAGCATACTAAGGTGGGTACTAAAATATTGCTGGGTAATTCTCATGAACGTAACAGAAGACTAAAATGAATCACACAGGAGTTTATGCCTGATTTCTTTTGTTATCTCTCAGCTTACAGTTCTTAATTTTCAGGCCACACAAAGACGAACGTGAAGAGACACTGCAAAATTCACTTTACTACATTTTAAGAAGACAATTAGACTGCACTTGCCCACTCCCCACAAGCTAAGAGAGTTACCACCTATTGGCAGTCCAGTTTTCCTCCCCATCATTTCAGTACTTAAGGGTGAAGGGTTGCTACAGAATGACTCTGCCCTATTATCTTTTAATGTCCCAGTCCTTAACCATTTCATAGTTGTGGGCTCACCTTTGGATCAAGTGCCAAATAAGCAGGTAGTAGTGAGGCAAGTAAGTAAAGTTTTATTTTTCTTTTTAAATTTATATTTCTACTTTATATTATAGAGGATCATTCTAGGAAGTAAAGGAATGTGTTTGCATACTCTTTGTAGTGCCAGTCACATGTGTAACACTTTCATTATATACCAAGCTATAGTTACAGGACCATATGGAATACAAATTTAATAAGAGGACCATATGGAATAGTTTCATAAATGTTCACTTCCTTTTGCTAAAGTATTACTACAGTTCCAGTTATGTAGAAGGGTGAAACCCACTTAAACAAGTTAAAATAATAACCTTTTCCGCAAAAGTAAAACATGCTTTTTACCACAATGGAGTCCCTTTTAAAAACTTATAACAGCTAAAAAATCGATCTTATTAAAAGAATAAACTTCCTTTGGGCAGGAAAAAAAAGGTAATAGCTATGACCTATTAAAGACCATACCTATTAACAGAACACATTTTTGGATTTTATCCCAAATTTGTAGTAAAGTCAATGAAATACCCTTATGTATAACCACTGCATGAAGTAATCACCTGGTAAGTTAGTTGTGTTGTTTTTTTTTTTTAAAGAAAGAAAGAAAGAAAAAACAAGCAAACAAAAATTCCCTCAGTTTTTTCTTCAATTACACTTCCAACAGAAGACAAATGTGGCTTTTTGTATACATTTTTAAAAATATAAAATGTTTCAAAAGTAAAGCTTATAGAAATTCAAACTGCAGTTAGTTGACATGAGAAAGAAAGTACAACTAGAAATGTATTTAAATTATTTATTAAAGTGAAATAACAACAAAAAACCATTTTAGACATGTAAGATCACACACTCTAATTAACCATTTTTATTCTCTACCCTTTCTTCCACTGGAAGATACCTTAAACAGTATCAATCAGAAGGAAAAATAAAGATTTCACATTATTAGCTTCCTATTTAATTTTTAAAAAGATTTACCTAATTGAACGATACATCATGAAATCAATAGTTGTACATCTAGGAAATTTACCAATGGAGCTCTCTTCCACAGGAGTATATACTTTAATTTGTCGCATGTGAGTGTCTCTTCCATTCTGGTGATTGGCTAGAACGGCAATCTGTATCATGAATGTGCGAATTGGCTTCTTGTGGGAATCAGTTAAAGGAACGTGAATCCAACCACTAGGTTCTACTAATTCAAGTTGCTGCCAAGAAAAAAAACAAGAAAAATTATAGATAATGCATTCTTAAAGTAAATATGAGCATTTTATATTAAGGCATTCTAAAATTCATCAGTGTAACTGATATTTTTGTAACTGAAAAAATAAAACTATTCATTACAAATAAAAGATAAAACAAAGTGCATAGCCTCAATAATGTCATAAAGATGTTTTCTCAACATTAATATTGTAAAAAAACAAACAAACCAAAAAACCCTCAAACCTGCATTGTCTTTAGTTTGACTTTTGAGTGGATGGAAAAGGTTACATCATTTGACAAGATTTCTCATATTCCCATGCCTTGTCTTCTTATCCATCTAAAAGCAAACTAAATGGAGAATAACATGGTAAAACCCTGATGGTAATGAAAAAAGGATAACAAGCACTGTATGCTTTTCAAAGTATATTGAGAAAGATGCACTACAAATTATTTTATAATGTCTCACATGTATGTAATACTCTTTTTACCAACTATTTTCACATTTATTACCCCATTCTCCATTTATTATCATAACAACAGAGCATAAATTATTGTCCCCATTTCACAGATGAAACACTAAGGCAAAAAGAAAATAATTGATTTGCCTAAGAGGTCAATCATACTCGACTAGAAAGCCATGTCTTCTGACTCTAAGCTCAGTGCTCTTTCTACTATACCATACAATATACACACATGAACAACATGTGTTGACTATAAAGAGACCAAAATCTGTGAAAGAGTGGCTGTATTCAGTTCAATAAATCTTTATTAGGATACTATGTACTTTACAAGAGTTTTTTATTGTTTTTGAATAGTGGATCACTAATTTTAAATGAGGTCATACATTTTTCCTGGTTCTTTAGTACAACTATATTTATTATCAACTAAATTCTCCCAGTATGTAACTAGTCTCTAGGAGTAAATAAGAATCTTGAAAGAAGCATTAATCCTGCCAGATCATTAATATTATCATTTGGCAAATTATATAAAACCATGCATTCAGTAGTACTCTTGAGGCCTAGAAGTCTATACTGTTGCCAAAATAACTAGTTTCCTACAAGAGGGTAACACTATGAAGGATTTTCTAGATAAGGCCTTCTAAATCTAGCCCCGGCCTAATGTTGCAGCTTTACTGCAACATCACCCCCCCTCCGCACACTCTGCAGCAAAAGCCATTGATGCTCCTCATACAGAGGATTATGCCTCTGCACTGGCAGGCAAGACTGCCAAATCTTCATTTGTCAGAACCTTTCATGTCCTTTGAGGCTCAACTCTAGGCCACCATGTATACAAAGCTTCTCCTTGATTTTCCCAGCTACTAGTACCTTTCCCTCCTAAGTCACTTTATCTGTTTTGTATATGCCTCTTCTGTACATACATGCTTCCCCTGCAACATTTTAAGTTTCTTTAAGGCACATATTATTTTTACTTTTGTCTTTGTATCCCATGTCTAGCATAGTGCTTGGCATAGAGAGGTGCTTAATAAATGCTTACTGATTGATTGTGCTTCCTAAAATTCAAGAGTATATGAGCACTATATTGCAAAACAAAACAAAAAAACCAACCAAACAAAAAACAACACTCCCCCCCCCCGTACAAGATACCTATAGACCCAAAAGAAAAATAGTTCTTATAGTACAAGTAACAAAGATTTTAATCGGGAAAGGAGCAATGATAGTCACCTGACATAAGAGAAATGCCATGGCAACACAACTATCATTTTAATCTTACATGACCTGGATAATGCCCTTTTAGTAATGAGTCCTTGGGGCTAGATATAAACCTTATGATCAAGCACACAGAACACAGGATCATCCTGCCCATCAGTACATGGGTATTTGAGGGTGCATCTGGCTCAATTTATTCCCCTGTATGGGTGAGAATAAGCGACATGTACATCTGTGCAAATCAATGAGGTACTTTATAACACTAGTGTTGGGGGGCATTACTAAGCCTACCTTTATAAATGAATGTAACTATTTCAAAGGAAGATGTATGTTGAAATCTATGTAATGACAAGTTATAATATGAAGAGAAATACTAATTGGTCAAAAATGCATTTAAGTGGCTGATATGTGCTAGGCACTAGGGGTTCAAATACAAAAGCAAGATCATCCCTTTCTTTAAGGAGCTGACATTCTAATAATGGCATATATCATGTTCACAAATAGGTAAATACAAGATACACATAAATGAATAGACAGTAATCTAGCTCTTATGATTTGGGAGGTAAAAGACTAACAAGTAAGGGAATCAAGAAAAACCTCTTGAAGGAGGTGGCACACGAGTAAAAACCTGGAACAAAGCTATGGATTCCAAGAGGTAAGATGAAGAGAAGATATCTTCCAGGCATGAAGGAATAGGCTCAAAGAGATGGGAAGTGAAATGTTAGTTATGTAGAGGGAATAATGAGGCCAGTTTGGCTTACCTCTGATAACACATTTAGCAAAATGTGGGGAAAAAAAAAAGCAAAACTACGAAGGCTCCAGGTTGTAAAGAGCTTTAAATGTCAAATAAGGGAGTTTTAATCTGATAGTAGAGATAAGAGGGAGCTACTAGAGTTTACTGGATAGAGGTTGATATAGTCAAATCTATGCCTTAGGAAAATCATTTTAGCAGCTTAATGGAGGATGAATTGAACTACATGAATATTTTAGAAGAAATGAAGCATGAATTTTAAAATGAAATAAAAGCTCTGGAAGATAAAGGAAGAAGAATAAATAGCTTAGAAGAGAAATTGGCAAAACTTAGCTAAAAAATGGAATCTCTGAAAATAAGAGACCTAACAGAAATTAATGACTCAGCAATGAGACTGAAATAAATATTAGAAGAAAATTAAAAGCTTGAAAAAAAAAGAATATCTAATATTAAAAAAAAACAGGTCAGAAAAAGATAATTTAAGAATCACTGAGGAGGACCAGAGTTCAAATCTGGCCTCAGACCAAACACTTGACACTTACTAGCTGTGTGACCCTGGGCAAGTCACTTAACCCCAATTGCCTAAAAAGAAAAAAAAAAAAGAATCATTGGATTTCCTGAAAAAACCTGGTTAAAAAAATATAAAGCCTGAACATGTTTCAAGAAATAATAAATAAAAACTGTCCAGATCTATTACAAAGGGGAAAGTAAAGACATAAAAAAAAAAATCCACTGATTACCTTCTGAAAGAAACCCTAAAAGGAAAAGTCCCAAATATCACAGCCATGAAAAAGAAAAAAAAAAATTTCAAATACCCAGAAAGGAGTTCAAGTACTAGAGAAGCACAGTTAGGAACATACAAAACCCGGCACCTGCAAAGAAGGAGAAGAGATATTGGAAAACATTATTCCAAAAGGCAAAAGACATGAGTTTACAACCAAGAATAATTTATCCCACAAAGCTAAGTGTAACCCTAAAGGGAAAAAATTGGATCTTTAATGGAACAGAGGGCTTTCAAGCATTTCTGATTAAAAATCCAGAGCTGATTAAGAACTCTGATACGCAAATACAACACTCAAGAAAAACCAGAAATGTATATTTATTTGAGCAATTAGAAAGGGGTAGTACGATGATACAGTGCTAAAATATTAACCAGAGAAGAAATAGGTATCCTTTCAGAATCTTAATGTCAAAAGTATTAAGGGAGTTAAATAAGAAAACCAGAGGACTGTATTGAGAGTTTGAAGAGAGGAAAGAGAAGGCAAAGTAAAAGGAACAGAAAAGTACAAAAGAAGGAAGAAGGCACTTAAACTTGTTATTTCTCATGACTCAAGTTTCTAAGAATGTTCTAATTAATGTGGAAGAAGAGACGCAGGGAGCAGGCATCAGAAGAACCTCACACTTTTCTGAAATGGACAAAGGAAGGCTGAACACACAGGTGTGGTTTGGGGTAGCAGTACATCATTTTCAACAGGGCAATAAGTGAGAGTAAGGGAGAGAGTACAGAGGGTGGATAATACCAGGGAAGGAATAGGCACAAGCAAAACAAATTGATCCTGAAAGGGAAATTGAAATCTACATGGATGATCACCAATTAGGAAATTGATGAACTAATTAGGGCATACGGATATAATGGAATATTATTGTGCCATGCCATTTCCTACCATGGTGGTAACAGAGGAAGAAGAAAGGACAGCCTAAGGACAGAGGTTGGGCCCCACACACTCAACCATGACCACATGCCACTTCTTGCTGATATAGCCTTATGTGCTTTTGGAAGTGCTGGTGGAACAAGCACTTGCCTGGGTGTGGTGGAGCCCTGGGGGTCAGCCCTGGCGGTCAGCCCTGGCAACAGCAGCACTGGTACTAATCACCACTCTTTGCCACCCTATGATTGTAGCAGAGGGGGATGAAGTAAGACATCCCATAGATTTACTAATGTCAGTCAGTCATCTAACTTTTCCAAAATCACAATCTGGAGGGGAAAGGGCAGCAGAGATCAAGGGAAGACATGCTTTGGGTCTTTTGACTCAGGAATATTAAATACTAGAAGCAGGAAGCTGAGATTTTCTCAGAATAGATTCTCTATACTGAATTCTAACCAAGGTGATGGGTGAAAGATCATGAGGACAAAGTGACTAAAGGAGTAGTAAAATACATCGAAGCTTGAAAATCTTCAGGGCAGTGGATATTTTCTGTTCATTCACCAAAGAAAGAACAACTCCATATTTTTGTGAATGGTTTTGAGGATATTTCACACAAGTTGAGACTTGAATATTTTAGCAATATATAAATAATATCTTACAAAGTTATCTAAATTCCACTCAGCAATTAGTAAAACTGTAGAGGAATGGGTTGCTTAAGATGAAGAACAGCAACCAAAGATACACTGCTTTCTAAACTGAAGAATGTAGTCAAGTGGTTCCTACATTTGGATTTTGCAGTCAGAAAACCTCAACAATTAGTTCAACAGGTTTTTCAGCTAATATTAACAGCAGCAGAGATATTCAAAATTTTAGTTTTAAACTAACATTGATTTGGTGCTCACATTTTTAGCAGCATGTCTGTCTTTGGGTCAGAGGTCTCC